TGCTTAGTAAGTGAATTAGCAGAAGACCTACGGCGCTTTCTCACGCTCTGTCGAATAAGACTAGTTTGAGCCTCGACTTCGCGCGCGTTACGTGGTGTCTGCGCCTCCCAGGCGGCTACCCGTCGCGGTGATTGATGTGGTGTCTGCACCACTACATCAAGCTTTAATAGCACAGCCTGTGGGTTGTATGGGACTAAACCAGCGCCTCTAAAGCCAGCTTGGATATTCTCCTTTGTAATAGACTGCTCAAAAGCAGCCTTAAAGGCTGGCAGGAAGGTCTCCTTACTGATATAGCTGGTGCGGTTGCGTGCCAAGCCTGAGATCGAGTCGCCATACTTGCGCTTCAACGGCGAGAAGCAGGCGACATTAAGGGGCTGCAATAGGTGAGACGAGTGCGCAGGCATGCAGAGAAGAATGATATTCTTCTCCTTGCAAAGATCTTGAAAATCGACGGAGCAGTGGCTCTCATGGCCGTTGATAATGAGCAGTTGATACCCACCCACAGTCTGCCTCTTTGTATAGGTATCAAAGTGCTCTAACCACGCAAGAGCAAGCTGATTATTCGTCTAGCTATTAGGACTAACTTTAAGAACCTAGTTAGTAGGCAGGTCTTTAAACCAGACGTTGATAAGCACCTTGCCCGCAAAGATAACGAAGGGGGGTAGCCAGCGACCTAACGCGCCCACGCCTTGGATCACAGTAACCCACTCATGGTTACCTAGCTGGATCCGCTTCTTTTTGCTATATCCCTCTAAGCCTGTGATAAAATCTTGCCTATTATAAAGCTAGTTTCGTCAAAGTTGTAGATATCGTTGTCTACAATACCCCACTTCTGCTTTGTCGCCTAAACTAAGTCAAACTAGCGCTAGATAGCCGCTAGGTCCTCGCAGGTAGCTCGCTGGTGATCGTAGGGACGGCTCTAGCGCGTGCGGAGCTTAGGAGTCCTCTTAACAAAGTTATTAATCTAGTTCTTGCTAATAGGGTTGCTCCCACGCTTATGCAGTAGTTTATTAGCTATTGCTTAAACGTTAGGCTTTATAGGCGCAAATCCTCGCGCAGACTCCTTAAGAATACGCTTAACTATAGCCTCCTCTTCTAGCTTATCTAGGCGCTTCAAATTCGCTTCGCAGTCGCGTCGAGAGCGCTTTCTAGCGCGTTAGTCAGATAGGGTTCTTTAAGGCACGTTATAGATAGAGGCAGCACGTCTTTAGCTTTAAACATGTTGCGATTAGATATTAAAAAGAGCAAGCTAAAGATCTAATTTAGGATAGGCTAATAAATGTTAACGTTGTTAAGACATGACGTGTTGCAGTCTCGACGTCAACGCGCTGGTGGGGCGTGAGCGACTCGCTTGGGTGAGCGACTCGCTTGTGAACCACGTTAACAATATCTACAACTTTAATAAGACTAGCTTTATAATAAGTAAGATTTTGTTATAGTTAGTTATTATAGTATTAGAAAGATATAAGAAAAAGAAGTAAATATAGCTAGGCAACTATAAGTAAGTTACTATAATCTAAGGCGTAGGCGCGTTAGGTTACTAAATACTACTTTTTATTATCTTTACAGGCAAGGTGCTTATTAACGTTTAGTTTAAGAATTTGCTTATTAACTAAGTTTTCAAAGGTAGTTCTAATAGCTAAATAAATAATTAGCTTAGTTTTACTTAATCAGAGCACTTTAATACCTATATAAAGAGCTTTACTATAGGTAGGCATTAACTACTTATTATTAATAGCTATAAGAGCTACTACTCTATTAATTTCTAAGATCTTTATAAGAAAAAGAATATTATACTTCTCTATATATTTACGCACTTATTTTACTTATTATAGCCCTTTAACGTTGCCTACTTCTTACTATTAAAGTGTAAGTATAGCAACGCTATTTTAGGCTTAGCACGTAACTATACCTACTATATTAGTAAAAAGACCTTCCTACTAGCTTTTAAGACTACTTTTAAGCAGTCTATTACAAAGAAGAATATCTAAGCTAGCTTTAGAGGCGCTAGTCTAGTCTAACACAACCTATAGGCTATGCTATCTAAGCTTAATATAGTAGTGTAGACACCTATATAATCACTATAATAGGTAGCTACCTAGTAGGCGTAGACACTACGCAACACGCGCGAAGTTAAGTCTTAAATTAGTTTTATTTAAGAGAGCGTAAGAAAACACTATAAGTCTTCTACTAATTTAATTACTAAGTAGATTATATAGCTAAGTAAAAGAGTCTAGTAAATAGCATATAAAATAACGCTTATAAAAGAGAAAATAGGTACGCTTTCAGTAGCTCTTAATAAGTTAAATAAGCGTAAAAGCTATAAGCAGCAATATATACAAATAAAAAAAACTCTTACTATAGGTAAAGTATAAAAAGTATTAGCTGAATAAGTAGGTAGTAGTTATAGTAATAGTAAGAGTGCGTCAAAGAGGGTGTAAGGAGAGCGGCGGTGTAGGCGTTATAAGTAGACTAGACATAACGCTTATACTTATATAGTTAAGATAGATAGTGTAAGTAATAGTAGTAATTCTAATAATTAATTTAGTATGTTATAATAGTTTATTATTATTATTGTTCCATTAGAGTCTAGTGAGCTCGAGGCTATGTAAGACTTTGGCCGAGGCCGTTCTAACTAGATTTATTTACAAATACGAGTTTGTGCTTGAAGTGTGTCTGTAGTGCTTCGGCCTTTGTCTAGGTAAGCGATAGCTATCGCTTACTAGACGCCTAGTGCTAAAGAGCATTTTGATAACAGAAAGAGATGTTAGAAAGCAAAGCAATCCTCCAGCGGGCTCTTTTAGGGATAAAA